TGGTCTACGCGGCTCCACTGTTTGCTCCCGTTGTTTGCTCGCATGTTGGCTCCCGGCCCCCCGGCACAGCAGCGCTCCGGCATGGGCACAACGGCCAATTGGAGTGGGCGAGGTTCCGCGGCAGTCGCTCCGGCGAATATGCGGTCTGCTTCACGACTCCCCGGCTCCCATCCCTTTCTGTCTCGCAGGGCATCTGCTAGCCGACCGCTCCAGTGACTCCGTGGCCGTATCCGTCGATCGATCCACCAGATCCGGTGCTGGTGCCGGTGAGGTCATCGCTGGCAGCTAGGCTTGACCTCGCCCAGGTCAGTTATCACACCATCGTCCTCGTTGTCCTTCAGATCTGCCTCTCTCTCTTCCTCTCCCTCTCCCTCTCTCCAGATCTGCGGCCGCATCAGTCGGCCTCCGGCGCACCGGCGTGGCCAGGCCCCGGCGGTGGGCGCAGCCGCCTCCCCTCCCCCCGCTGCGCGCATCTCTCTCGCTCGCGCCTTCGCTTTCGGGGTGGCGGCACGCCGCCAGGCCGCGAGCGCCGGCGGATCCCCGCTGCGTGTGTGCGGCGCACTAGCATGAGCGTGGCCGAGGTCCGTGCCTCCGACACGGAGCCAGCGGCTAAGAGGGCACCGCCGGTGGCCGGACCGCGCCGCGTCTTCCGTTTCTAGCGAGGGGCTCGCGGCCGGCGTGGAGGCGCTCAAGAGCTCCATCCGGGGCCTCGACGTGGGCGTGGGTCGGCCGCGCAGAACATGGCCACCTCGCTGCGCGGACGAATCACGCCGTGTCCTCTTCCTCCCCCTTGGCGGCTACGGGTTTAGATGCGGCAGCTGCGCGGACCGGTGGCCCTTGCCGGCGGCAATGGCGCTTGGGTCACGACTGGCCTCAGCTGCAAGCGCTTCCCTCATCTTCATCTGCCCAAGCTTGGTACTCCCCAAGGTCTACCTCGCCGCTGTCTTCGAGTAGATCGACGCCGTCCAGGTTCGTGTCCCCTTCTTCTCAGTCTGGATCTGGGGTTCAATCTCGATGGGGTTGTTGCGGCCTTCTCGATTTGGTTAGGTTTTGATTGACATCTCTGTGTTTGCTTTTCCTGAGGCCCTGAAGCTTGCCGGGAACACCGCCGAGGATCCACATGGTCGTCACTGATAAAGGTCAGCACAGGTCTACCACTAATGATCCTTTGTCCTCTCATCTATTTGTTCATATTTGCAGATATAGGTTGCTCAAACCGATTACAAAAACAATCTTAGTAACTAAGCGCTCTGGGAACCCACTATTAATTTCCACAAACTTTCCTCCAGGTTCTATTTGTTTTGTTTTTCAAGCAGTACATCTACTTTATCAATTTGTGAACAAATTGAGCTCTTACATGGTTGTGATAGTTACCTCTGAAAAAGAAGAGATGGTTCATGGATTCATTGCGGCACTGTCTATTCTTGGCTATATGAGAAGCATCTCTATTTAATGCCTTCGAACTGCTGAACGTATGGACATGAATTCACTGCCTATCTATCTCTGCATATTTAAATATTTAAGTGCTTCCTAATATCCTAACTGATTTGTTTTTCCAGATGGAAAGTGACCTATCAATTGCCTGGTAGATGTTGGATTTCCTACACCTTAAATGCAGACATGTCACATGGTGCTTAGTATTTCTGTCAGTTTTATTTATTCACAGGTTTTTGGTCTACATCCATTTGTGTATCCAAATTTGTTCCCTTTCATGTCATTCACAATTTTCTTACTGTATGATTATAAACCTCAATACATTATACATGGTCTATATGGTTTAGTTTCCGTATTGTTTATATTTCTTTGCGGCTTTTTGCTGCATGACCAAAAAGATGGCTGATGAACTCTATAATTATGCCTTTATGTTTCTATATGCATCTCTAATTTTGTAAATCTCTCTTATGTTGCTAAGGTTCCACTGATACCTTGATGAAAAATTATTTATCTGATTGTTTTCTGAAATAAAAGAGTGGAATGTGATATACTGTCTCACATCTGGCGAATTATTATTTGGTGTTAATATTTGACCTTCATTCACGGATTACAATTTTAGCATTTCTTTGTGATACAGAGCATGCTTCGGTGATACAGATGAGATTTGTAGTGCATTTCTTTGCTTTACAGACCACTACGTTTCCCAATTTCACACTTGCTCAGCCATCATGTAGTCATGTGTTTTAATTTAAATTGTCACATTCACGTTTCTTGAATGCTTGCAGGGAAATAAAGTACCAAGAATACTTCTTCTGATGTTGAATACCAAAACTTACATACCTGGTGCAATGATTAATTGATAATCAAGATATTTCTTAGTTCATCCAAAGTGGGAGTAACTTGGCAGCAAGGATGCCAGCTTCCTTATCCATGAAATTCTTTTGTCACCTGTTTCAAAGGTAAACCTATAGTAACTTTTTCCCTTATTTGCCAAGCTAATCGGATGCACCTTGATTAGTGATCGCATATAACCCAGCAGCCACATGGATAAGTATATGCTTTTATCTGTTGCTATTTTTTTTATGATCTATCAGTAATTCCTATGTGTTGACATCCTAATGCAATTCCAAAGTTGAAACTTGAGTCCTGGCCGTATGGGAGATGAGCCAAATAATCTATATGCAATGTATTATTTGATTTTCTTTGGTCACTTTTAATTCCCGGTGGTCGTTGGCCATATTGTTTTTAGTCAACTCACACCTTGGCCTTATTTTCCAAACAATTGCAATGCCACTTGTGATTTATGCAGCCTGTTAAGCCTTATTTGTACATTTCCTTATCCTAACAAGTGCCAATGTCTCTGCCTGGACATTTCATCTGACTTCTGTAATTTAATGGCATAGAAATTATGCTACAGCACTGTACTCATGCCAATCTTTTTTAATACAAGTATAGATCCTATATTTTTTTGATGTGATTCCACATTTGGTACAGGCACAGACATATCGTATATAACATCATGCCTATATCTTAGCAGCGTTGGAACGGGAGCATGGCCACGTTCCACGTTCTGGGAACGTCCACGTGCAATGTATGATGACCGTGGTAACAATGCGAATGCATCCTGTGTTTGTACTAAGACTAAAAAAACAGTGTTAACAATGTGAACTGGAGTTATCATTTCCAGTAGCTTGGTGCTGCATTACGTTTTCAGTTTCCACATGCCATGCCCAGAGTCCAGACCATCAAATGGAATGGATTGCTTGGATAACTCACCAAGATATACATAATTTGAGGGAAAATTTCTCTTCCTCTCTTCCATGTTGCACGAGATGCACTTTTTCATCTATTTAGACAATTGTATGGTTCTTCACATCTGGCTTTACTTTAGCAGATGTCTGTTTCTATCTTCATTTTTAGAGACAGATTATTTTACATGTCAATTTAATTGGACAATTAGCTTCAATCCATATTTGCTTAGAACTGCACATTCTGTTCTACATGCAACTTTTCTTATTTGATCTGGTGCCGTTGTACTCAGGGGCAGAGCTTGGAATGGGAGAAGGAAGGTGCTTAATACTGAGATTAGATGTAAACCATACTTTTTGGCATGTTAATCATGGTTATACGCTTTAATCAAGGTTCTGTGCATATAGGGCTAAAAAGGGGAAACATGGGTGGCGGGTGGGGTGGGGTGGGGTGGGGTGGGGGTGGGGGTGGGGGCTTTACAGCCCTGGCAACACCTGCCCTGTAATCCTGTTCTTGGTTGTGCTGTTGACACTCACTGTTATGTTTGCATGCTTAATGATTTAATTTGTACCCAATTTTTTTGTGTAAAACCTCTTATCTCTAAGATGGTTTCATGGTTCTTTTTTTTTAACTTTCTTATTTTCATTTCTTTGCCAATGTTAGAAGAAAATGCTTTATTCTTGTTTGCCTGATACTGATACTCCATAGAAGGGACAACACCTTACTTTTTCTGTAGTTTTTTTCATTATGTGTTCATTCGAAATAATTTTGGGCTTTATATTTTTTTGTTGTAACCCATTTTGTATGCTGCTGATGTTGACTTCTCTCTTCATGTAATTGCAGGCCTAATCATGCAAGTTTTGGCTATCGTTGAGTCATGCTACCGATGATTGTTGTAAGTGTTGATTGCAAGGATTTATAGACTATGGTCGTATCTTTGCTGGTTATGTAGTTGGATAAATGTACTGGATTTGTGCCTAGACAAAAAAGCCTAGATAGATCCTATTTATTTTCCTATATCCATTTGTTCTGTTTGTAACTAATAAGCTACAGAATGTTGTGACGAATTAATAGTTCTTATGTAATCGTGCTGAATTTCTACTCGACAATAGCATTTCTGAAATCTGTGACTTTTTCCTAATTGTTTGAATGTATTTTTGTTGGCCGGGATTTATATCCTTATGTCATCCAAATGGTGTCTGGAAATTCCTCCCCGATGGAGCTACAGTTACCTGGCGGGGAGAGGGCGGCATCGTGCGCGGAAAGAATTCCCTTTGGGGCTACTTTGGCAGTCAGGTTTCCCGCCGGGATCCCACCCTTTTCCCGGCGCCGTGAGTCCACGGGCCATCCTCCCCCGTGGCAGATTGCCGTACCATTTGGAACCCCGAGTGATGGAGTTTTGGAGCCCAATTCCCTCTACTTTCCACGGGGGAGAAATCCACGACCCAATTGGCCGGGAAGCGCTCTCCTCGCTCACCGCTCCCTCTATTTCTCTTCCTCGCGTCGCCCGTCGCCGCCTCCGTCTCGCCTCGATGCCTCCATTTCTGTTCTTGGGGTCGTCCGGTCTTGCGTCGCCTCTGCCTCCTTGCCCGTGAGGCCTTCCTCCACCAGCTCCCTCGTGATCTACCCCTGGTTCCCAAAGGGCGACAGGGGAGAACAACACTTCGTGGATTGCCTCCACGGGGAAACTAAACATCGCAATTATAAGGTTTATAACCACCCTCATACCAGATGTTCGTTTGTTTCTTGATCCTCGGGCTCCACCAAGCACATCACCCGCAGCGAAGCGCGGGCGGCAGTGGCCAGTATCTATGGCAATGGATCGTCATGACAAAGAAAAAGAAATGGCATCAATTCTGTTATCTTCTTTGTATGCTGATCTACTGAGCTCCTACACAATCAGTGAAGGTTTTATGATGCTTCTGGAGTCTACAGAAGATCTGACTGTTGATATACCAGATGCTACTGATGTCTTGGCAGTTTTTATTGCACGGGCTATTGTTGATGAAATTTTACCTCCTGTTTTCCTCACTCGAGCTAGAGCACTACTTCCAGAATTTTCCAAGGGCATTCAAGTTCTGCAGGTTGTTGAAAAGAGCTATTTGTCAGCTCGCCACCATGCAGAGTTGGTCGAACGCAAATGGGGTGGAAGCACACACTTTACTGTAGAAGAAGCGAAAAGGAGGATTCAGAATATTCTCAGAGAGTATATTGAGAGTGGAGACATAGATGAAGCCTTTAGGTGTATAAGAGAGCTTAGCCTTCCGTTTTTCCATCATGAGGTTGTGAAGCGTGCTCTCACTTTTGGTATTGAGAACATATCCTCGCAGCCATTTTTTTTTGACGCAAAAGACTGCGGGGGGGAGGGGGGAGATCCCCACAGTGGTTTTAATATATATTAAAAAAAAGGCTAACAGAGTTACAACCTGAGTTAACTAAAAGCATTAAGCCAAAAGCAAAAAGATGACCTAAGATCATCCCTAAATTTAACAGATTGAGACAAACATTAATGTTTAAAATTTGCTAGCCAAATACTATGCGTGGGATCCTGGTGTTGGAAGATCTTGTCGTTGCGCAATTTTCAAAGCTCCCAAGCCGCTATAATAGACGCTTCCGTGAAGAATTCCAAGCCGTGTTAGTCACGCGCGCGCCCTTATAAATCTTTCTGGCAGCGGCAAAGACGTGTCCCAGCTGAAGTTTATCGAAGCCCAGCACGGTACCGCAAAGGGGCACTCAAAGAACAGGCGATCAATGTCCTCCTCAATCCCGGCAGAACACATGACACAGAGAGTGTCATCTTGAACATTTAGGTTCCTTCTTCTTAGTATTGTCTTGGTGTTGAGACGATCCACTAGTATCAGCCATGCAAAGAATTTGACACGGGGGGTGCAGTGAGACTTCCAAAGCACTTTGTAATATGGATGAGTTTCAACCCAACTGAAGGCATATGAATAGAACCGGCAAGAAGAATATTTATCGCCCCAGATCATGATCCACACATCTACCGCGGTGTCATCATACTGTAACTGAACCAAGCATCTTGGCCCTTCTTCAACCATGATCTTGGGATGCCCTTCTTCAACCATGAGGTGGTAAAGAAGGCACTAGTCATGGCGATGGAGAAGCAGAGTGACACCAGCATCTTGGCCCTGCTGCAGGAGTGTTTCGGCGAGGGGCTGATAACCATCAACCAGATGATCAAAGGCTTTGCCCGTGTCAAGGAAGGCCTTGATGATCTGATCCTCGGCATCCCGAATGCTCAGGAGAAGTTTGGAAGGTATGTGGAGCTCGCAACAGAGCGCGGCTGGCTGCTGCCGACCTTCGCCTCCATTCCCTGAGCTTCCACCACTGGCGATACCTTCCCTGTGTGTACATTTGTGCCCATGATGTCATTAGCTCCATACCAAAGTTTTCCTGTTCCTAGTTTACTTATGTTACCGTATACTGGAGGATTGTAGGATGGATGTGGTGTCGCTTGTTGAGATAGTGTTCTATTGGTCTGGTCTGGGAGGGTACTTTTGAGAGTTAAAAGAATATAAAACCATTTTGTTTCAGGTTATGAGATATATGCCGTAACCTTTGGTATTTTTGTAACTAGCTCCGCATGGTTTCTGTATTCCCGGTATCTAGGCATCTTCCCTTTCGGCAATGCTGCTCATTTTCTCCTACTCGGTTTCGTGTATAGGATGTATGTGTCCAGGGATTCTGGCGAAGTTGTCAACGATGGTTGTAACAGAACTGATCAATTATACGAAATTAAGTAAGAAAATCATCCGCCAGAGCAGACGATTTAGCAAACTTAAGCCCGTATAACCCGGTAGTCCGTGAAATCACGAAGGATTTCAAACCAACTTCCATTCCAGCCAAGATCATAATAAGTTTAGCGGTCACCATCACATATTCACATAAAAGTTTGCATCTCAGATACATCAGAGTTTAAACATAGTTATTACAAAACAAGTTCGAATAAAAGTAGCGGAAGCCATTTGTTCAAACCACACACACTCACACGGAGTTCAAATATAGTGCCAGCGAATGATCATCTCCAACAAAAACATCAGACGAGACGTAAGGAATGACCATGCCTATGGTCCTAAGCATCACCCATCGCAGGATAAAGGCAGTTAATACAATAACCGTAATACATCTGTCCATCTGCAACAAGTGGGAATAAAACCCTGAGTACGAGAAGGTACTCAGCTAGACTTACCCGACATAACCGAAAATAAGTGACACCAAGGATTATGAAGGCTTTATAGTAGGGTAGCTGACTCATTTACAAAGAAAGCATTTTTAGCATTCCAAGAACCTTTCTAAAAATATTATTGCCAAGTTAATTAATTATAACCTGTCGACTAGATTTGCACCTATACTAGAGCAAACATGTGATTAAACAGATAATGATAACCAATGATCATTAAACAACTTTCATAATGTCATATTCATTATAACTATCCAAGTGTTCCATCAACATTACTACGATGAAGTCACTCAAGTCAAGTGCTCACTATCCAGGAGCGATGGCGATTCGAATCGATTCCTAACCAGCTAGTGATTTATTCCTTACACAAACCTCACTCGCCCGCTAAAGTGAGATATTGATCACCGAGTCAACTATCCAGGAATCTCGAGTTTGCTAGGAACCACATGTACCCGGGGGCCGACCGACTGCACTTTGGTCTTATCATCTCGCCCCCGTGTCCTACCACACCTGCTCCGGCACAGTGCGCTGCGGGCAATCTACTCGGCCCGAATAATCTCCCAGCTTCGCGGTCGGAAGGTACTTTATCCGGCCAGCTAAATGTAAGGCATGCGTTCAACATGACTCGAGGCCCAACAACGGTCGGTCCTTAATCGACACAGACGGAAAGCACTACAGTCCAAAACTCTGTAAGTCTCCGTCCGGTCTCAACTTCATTTAACACTTAGTTATACCATGACTTCATAGTCATCCAAGCAGATCCAGGTAACCACCTATAGCTCGCAGGTGACAGGAAATCACCCGACTTCTACCGGTCTAAGCCAGCTAAGCATTGACTCGACTGCGGATACCAGGGTAACAAGGATATAGTATAACAAAGGTAGACAAGGTATAATGCAGCAACGGTTGCAAACAACTCCTGAACGTAATGCATCAATTAAAGTAAAGTATTTAATTAAAAATTGCAAACCGGGAGAAAAATGCTCCGGGGCTTGCCTCTCTCGAAGGAGCTCGGGCGGTGATCGGGGCACTCTGGAAGTTCCTCAACGTCCTCCTCGTCGGCTTCGGGCACTTCCTGCGGCTGCACCTCGAACTGCTCCTCGGGCTCCTCGGGTATGACGACTGGGTTCTCGGTTTGCGATCCTGTATGATGCAATGTGCGTAAGCGCCTATGCAATCGGTGCATCGAATGAGATGAATACAATGGATATGTTTGAATGCAAGGTAGTCAACATCATCCAAGAACATATACTATAAGCACATGTCATCTACTGCATTCTCTTCTACTACTAATATGCTAAATCAACACATCTTATTAAATGCTTCAAAGATACACCAAAGCTTTACTAATTTCTTAATCACACATTTAGCAACACTTGATTAAACCCTAATTAATAATAGGTTTGAATAGTAACATCTATTTTTATTGCTTAGAAAAATCTTAGAAAATTACGATAGCACAGTACTACCCTAAGTAGTCTACCATCAGATTTTCATGGTATTTGAATGGGGGGATTAGCCTACACAAAAATAACAAGCTATGGCATGATTATGAACATGAAAATACTTTGTACTGTGAAAAGTGTCAAACAACAGAGTTAGCATTTTTCCTATGACCTTCATAGCATACAATCACTGTACAAAAATTATCACATGCATGTTTTATACAAAGTTTGCTCTCTACCTAAAATAACAAAAATCAGCCATTAAAGGCACTTGAACTACACCTCAAAATTTTTCTTCAGCACATGTATGACACATATTTTTCCTAGGAAGTACATTACATAAGAAGATCAACAAACTTGGAATCATATTTTTCTAAATCCTATAGGTTTTTCTACATATTTTTCAAGTTATCAGCAATATCCATGATTAAATAAAGTTCTACATAAAAGTATCTCAAAAATGACATGCAATAATTTTCCCAAGTATATCTGGTGATAAGGAACCTAGCAAAATTTATTTCAACAGATTTGGAGCAAATTTGAGTATCCAAACATTTTCCAAATCATTTCTCCTTTCAAATAATAAAGAAAAAAACTAAAAATAAACATCCTATTGCTACTGGGCCGGCCCGTGGGAATCAGCCGGCCCACGGTCACACTTGCCTCTGCGCACGCCCGAGTGAAGGGAAAGAACGGCGACCTGGCAGGGGCTTTGGCCCATGGCCTCTTGGCCCAGCTCGGCCGAGGCGAAGCCATGCTTGCAAGACCGAGACGCGTCGTCGCGGCCAGTGGCTTTCGACCAATGAGGGCAGCGGCCATACTTACCGGCCATGCCAGAGCAAACGAGCGAGTGCATGTGGTTTGCGAGGAGCTGGCGAATGCAGGCAGGTAGCTAGGCAGGGTGGAGAAGGGGAGGAAGGGGGAGTTCCACGGCGGCCGAGCACGGCGGCGCCATGGCCGACGTCGGTGAGTCGCGAGAACGCGCTACCTAGGCTCAAAAGACGGCACAATCACGAGCACCAAGTGCCGGAGAGCGAGGCGGAGCTGCTGGCGCTCGATTGCTGGCCATGGTGGAGGAGGGGCGGCGAATTTGCCCGGCGGGTGCGGTGGCGCTCGGTGGCGAGCTTGTTGCGTGCGGGAGGAGAAGCGAGCTCGGGATAGCGAGAGAGCGGGCGGGATGGAGTGGAGAGGGCGCGCGCGTGGTGGGCAGTGTGTAGCGGCGCGATGGGAGCAGAGCGTGAGCAGCGGTCGGCTGACGCAGCGCAGCGTGTCAGCAGCGCATGCATAGCCGCCACTGCGCGGCGGGCGTGCTCTGCCGCTGGTCGAAGTACGCAGCGCTGCGTTAAGAAGTTAGCGCGCGGCGAGGCAGCGCAGCGCTGGCTGGGCCAAAAGGCGGCGCAGCGGCACGGGAGGAGGCTTCTTTGGGCAAGCCGTGTAGTGGGAAGCGAGCGGCGGCCCATGAAATAAGAAAAGCCTTTTTCAAATTATGTTTTCAAGAGATTTTCAAACACCAGTTTTCAAATATCATTTTGAGCAAGAAAATGACATCTTTTGAAAATGTACCAAAAATGAAAGTTGATTCGAATTTAATTCTCTACAACTTTGCTTTTATAACCAAAGTCCAATTCTATCTAGATTTTGAATTATAAAATCAAAGTCAATTTTAACTCGAAACCCTAATTTTTGGTGAATTATTTTTAAGGCAAAATTTTTGCAATAATTTGAATACAAACTTTGCTCCAAAAATTATGCTAAATAATTCTAGACGATTTACAATCATTGTCAAACAAGTTCTACTAACCTAGCAAGCATAATCAGGGCAAAACAACTCTAACAAGTGTATGCATCATTTATGTTTCACAAGCATGTTTCGTATGTTTCGAAGCAGTGTTGCAGTTGTTATTTACATGATTAGGCATGTATGATTAGGATGCTTGATGATGCATGACATGCATGATTTTTAGTGCCTAAATGCTGGCATAACACCGGTGTGTTACAGCCCTCCCCCCTTATAAAAATCTCATCCCGAGATTTGGGTTACGAACCATTTGTTATAAAAATCTTCATAAGCTTTTTGTAGATACTCTCCCGTTTCCCAAGTTGCATCTCCCTCATCATGATGATCCCACTGTATCTTGTATGTTTTTACCACACTATTCCGAGTAGCACGTTCTTTAGTGTCTAACACACGGACTGGTTGCTCACGATACACCAAATCTGATTTGAGTTGGATGCCTCGAGGTTCTATTCTTTCCTTCGGAACACTCAAACATTTCTTGAGATGTGATACATGGAAAACTGGGAAAATGGTACTCATTGTCTTAGGTAACTCTAACTTGTAGGCTACTAGACCTCTTTGTTCCAGGATCTTGTATGGTCCTACGAATCTCGCGGTAAGCTTTCTTCGGACTCCGAACCTTTTCTTCTTCATTGGCGTGACCTTCAGATAAACATAGTCACCAACTTCAAACACAAGGGGTCTCCTTCTTCTGTCTGCATAACTTTTCTGACGTGATTGGGCCGCCTTCATATTCTGCTGAATAATATGAACTTTCTTCTCGGCTTCTTCTACAAAGTCAATGCCATAATACCTTCTATCTCCAGGCTCGACCCAATTTAATGGTGTTCTACATTTTCTGCCATATAAAGCTTCGAAGGGAGCCATCTTGATGCTTTCTTGATAACTATTATT